GCTCACAATGTTGCTTGTCAGGTCTTGGCAAATGGTTTTAGAATTTTCATTTTCTACAGTACAAAAGTCCAAGAAGATTGGTATACTAAGACCACCCAGTCGCGTTGGCAATGAAAGCAATTTTCAGTCATTTAATGACAAACTACGACCATCTAGGAGCGCAGGAAGGAGCTTTGTATCAATGACATTGTCAACAAGATGCATTTCATTCTCAATACCTGGGATAGTTCGTATGTGATGCATAAATCGATGGCGAAAACCGGAGACAAATGCAGCATAGGCAGCTTGTGGATCATAGGCAGCTTGTGAACAAACGTATGTATTGCATTGTGGTTTATCATGCCCAGGGCTTTAAAAAAAATAAACATACCTGTAGTTCGGTTTTCATTTAAAGATTCACCACAATCTAAACCACATGGTAAATCTTCATCTGATTCATCATTACTTTCTCTGATAACATAGGGCAGTATTGTTTCTGTTCTAGTGCATGGTATGCTAGGGTTCACCACCATAACATCATTATTAACACCGTCATCATGACTTGGTGAGTCACCCCAACAGTCATCATCATCATTCCATTCATCCTCACAATGGAAAAAATAAACTTGTGAATTATACAACTTCAGGTAGTTTTTGATTCTTGGCTTATTCAGACTCCATGTGACAATAGTATGTGATCTATTACTAACCCCCCCTCCCGCTCCTTGCGATTAACAAGTTAACCTGTCTAACTTGGATGTGATTTAGGTACAATTTGTGGCAAACAGTGCAATTCACCGGCATGACTGTATACAATATTATTTATTTCAATATTTGTCCACATGATTTTCTTAGTATACAATACTCACCAGTGTTGATCTTGGTATGATATATATTGGGCTTTGTTTTACTATTCCCAACAATATCTTCCCTGTTAAATCTGTTCCTTTGGGAAGGTTAATCTGGCTTAAATTTTTTCCAATAGATTTTACAAAATCAAACCTAAAAATAAAATTACCAATTATATCAATTTATTGTAATCAATCAATGATGTTTGAAAATGGAAAATACTAATTTAATTCTGTATTACTATTTTTATATGGAAATCTTTTCAATTTGCACTAGGAACTATGCTATGAATAAGTAACCCTTTTAAGTTTTAATCAAGTTAAATAGCTGTATGCAGTATGGCTCATGGAGGTGTCTTTTGGGTGCAAATACTATGATCTGGGAAAACTATCAGTAGGTAACACAACATTTGGTATTTTTGCACCAATCAATGTAAGTCCCAGGAGAAGGTGGTATACAGGTGGGATTTGCTTTGAACTGTTGGGTATTTGAGCCCCTCCCTAGAGTGATTCCAGGGGTGATGATATTTGACTGATAGCGAAAGTCATTCTGAGGCTCTTTTTTCTTCCAGGATTGTTGATAGTACACTATCATGATAGTATACTATATCCACAGCCGTGGGACAAGGTTGGATTTTTTATACACTTGATTAACATCAGAAAATTTATTCAAAACTTCATTTTTTGTCAAATGCCCAACCCAGCTTTGCTGAACTACTTATGGGAGCTCCTTAAATAAAGATTTATTATTTTATTATTATTATTAACTGATTTCCCTCATTGATGAACTAATGTCCGAAATAGATCTTAGATCTCTTCACCCAAAAAACACTGTTGCTGCGATATCTAAAACTTGGCTAGTCGAAAATATCGATTCTTCGGTGAACAAGTACATCCGAAAATGGCTGGAAGTACCTATATATGGAACACTAAGTAACGTTTTCCTAACCCGTAATAAGTTTGGTCTAAATATCCTCCCTGCATCAGTCAAATTCATTCAGTGTCAAACAGTTCTACGCAATGCCCTAAAAACATCTCCAAACGATTCAATAAACGAACTGTGGAAGTCAACTAATAATCATACTAACATTCAATACGATAGCTACAACTCAACTAAAGAAGTTTTAAAAACTTTCCATTCTCAACAAGAAAATAAACTTAGGAACCGTTTGAAATGTCAAGGTTCCTTTTTCGAAAATGTTTCTAAATTCTCCCTATCACAACTTAATGCAATCTGGTCGGTATCGCAATCAAAGCTACCAAAGAACATTTTCAACTTTACAATTCGCTATATAAATAATACCCTTCCTACCCGAAAGAACCTCAGTAGGTGGGGAATTTCATTAAGTTCTGACTGCTCGTTCTGCTTACACCCTGAATAACTTCTACACGTTGTTGCCGGTTGTCAACATTACTTGGAACGATTTACTTGGAGACACGATTCCATACTAAACTTTCTTGCAAAAACGTTTCAAAGTTTAAACGAATGCAAATTACATGTTGATCTTCCTGGATTTGAAAGCCCCTCGATTATTACGGGAGATGAATATCGTCCTGATTTACTTGTCTCCACTTCAGACAAACACCTCTACGTTGTTGAACTTACCGTAGGCTTTGAATCAAACCTCACAAACAATGTTAACCGCAAGAAAGCTAAATATAAAAACCTAATTAGAGAACTGGATCAAAACTTTACATCTGTTAAATTTATAAATCTTTCTGTCAGTTCGCTAGGTGTGTTTGACAAAGAATGTCATACATTCGTAAAAATGCTAAATGAGTTAGGACTGGGTAATCAACACCAACAATATTGTATCAGAAAAATTATATCTATTGCCATCCGATCAACGTACTACATATTTTGCTGTAGAAATAAAGAATGGACTAATCCCGAACTAATGAACATTTAAAGTAACTATTTCTATAAATAATCAACAATTTTTGTATATAAAATTATAACCATGCATGTATAAGTGATTCAAGTAGTCAATTGTAGGTTACCTCAAGAAGTGAGATTTACAATTGTATATATCTATAAATGTTCTATTAATAAAGTTTTCATTATTAATATTATTATTATTATTGTTATTATTATTATTATTACACCCCCTTCCCCCGAGATTACATTGATAGGTTGGTGGTAATATTTGGCTACTGGGGTAAAGTCTAAAGAGATAATTTAAATTTTATAAGGCCCAAGTGTGTATTTCTGTATGTTCACCTTGCACCTTTCAACTTGTCAGCAAACAATGCTTCAATTTTTTCTCTTGCTCTTTCTCCGACCAGTTTCTGTCAATTTCAACAGCATCCATAACATACCGTTTTTATGTAATTCTACTTTTTTCGCATACTTGGGCACATCTGTTTCGCTCGGAGCCGCTAATAAGACAATTTCGTTCATCGTTGTGGTCACTGCACGTGAATTGCAAGCTGAGGCTGTTCTGGTTTGTCGGCTGTTTGACACACTTCGCTGATTCCGTCGCGTGTATGGTGAAGGCTGTCGTATTCGTCGAGTGCTGTTGCCATAGCCATAATTTTGGCTGGGGTTATATTGCCGAGCCATCAATTGGCCAGAATTCGCAGTACTTGAGTCATGTTCAGCTCCATTTGTTTTGCTTCGAGTTTCGTTTATAGTCTGTGGTATTCGAAACCTACGGTTTTACTTCTTGTTCCAATGCCAATGGCGATGCGGGCGTGATCATTCCAGTGCCTCGTTCAGCGCCGCTTCTCGCTTGGCCATTTGTCTCGTTCGTGTTTACAGCACTCAGTATTCTTCGAACAAGGTTTTCAACGCCGTTATGAGAATTAGGGTTCAGGTTATCCATTACAAAAATCGAGATCTCAGTTTTGATTGTGGCGTGGACGATAAAATTGCAAATTTCCCGTATTGGCGGGAATTTGGCAAATACATTCCGGCCCCCTGTTTCAATTTCACCCTTCATCATCACTTCCCCCGGTGCAAAACGGTATGTGTTGTCCCCCTTCTGTAGAATTCTGATCAAAATATTTCCTCTCCCTTCTTGAAATAAATACACGTGAAACTTGATTTATAAAAACGTGATATACTTGATGTAACACACGATGGACTTGATATAAAAATATGTGATGTAACTTGATATAAAACACGAACGACTTGATTGTAAAAACACGACGCTTGACATAAAACACTAACGACTTGATTGTAAAATAACGACACTTGACATAAAACACGAATGACTTGATATAAGTAATATATACTTGATATTTTGTCACGTTTGGCGTAGCATAGCTGTGAAAGAATGAAAAATGAATTGATATTTCATAACTTTGTTATTTTTAGACTAGGTATCGAACTTATGCATTATGACACATGAATCTATTAGTGACTACTAAGACCAAAATTTCTTCTCATTCCTTTCCTTGTTAATCAGACTGAATGATTTAAGGAATTAAATAATAGTATCAAAATAGAAATTTTGCAAAGATGTGTGCTCTTAATAAAACACAAAACAACAGACACTCCGAAAATTGTAAACATTTTCATTCTTTACTTGTCCACTATTAATTTTAGTCATGTCTATATTGTTTTGTGTTTTATTAAAATACTTGGTGTGCTCTTGGTAGTCACAAAATAGATTTACATATAGATACATTATCGTGATTATTTTCCATTTTGACGTTTTGATGTTCATTATTTACAAGGCAAGACAAGAAAAATATCCAAGTAATGATACCCAGATTTCAAGTCAAATTTTGTGAAAAACGACCCACTGTCAAAACACTGCAAAACTGCACGCCAATTGTCAAATTTTATGGTTTGCTTGTAGACATGATTGCTCAAAACTCAAATCTTAGAAAATAGAGATATTATCAATTATTTATTAAATATTATTGTCTTAAAAATATTTTTATAAATGATGTGTGTAAAATAAATCGTTCTTTCTGTTTGTTCACTCAACAAGATATTTTTAGATTTTATGTTAAATTTATGCATTCCTTTCTATGATTTCAAGCGCCAACATGTAATGCTCTACTTTGTAATTATTTCCATTTCCTTATCTGTCCTTACTCTGCTTGGTAAACCATATTCAGAAGTGGCATCTAGAAAGCATGATAGCAATGTCTGGGATTTGTTGTTGTTAGTACAGGCCAACATAACTGGCAACCGACTAAATCCATCGATTCCTTCCACAATCACAAAAATTCCACCGTATCAGCTTGTGATTGCATGGTGTCTATGTGCCACAGATGGTTGGGCCCCTTGAGATTGTAGACTCGATTATGCAATTGTCCCTTCTTCCTGTTTGCAACACCTCCATCATCTACCCGGTGTATGGAATCACGTAGTCTCATTCTTTGAACTCTTATGCCTTTCTGTTCCAGAATATGCTTGAACATTTTCTCACCACAAAATGGGAAATCTTTAGCAATTTCACTCATGTGGGCATCCAACTGTTCCTTGGTAACGTCAGAGAACGTAAGTTTGCTAAGACCGTAACATATTGTGCTCTCAGACACAGACAACATCATAGCGATTTCGCTAATAAGAAAACCCTCATCTAAAAACTTTACAATTTCTTGGGGTATTTCATACTTGAGATGACCGTTTACATCTTGGTTTTTTAGCGGTTGTCCACCAGAATATTTAGTACATTCAATTTGCAGTGCCATAATTTCGCTGTGATTACGTAAACCCAACTGATTCAGTTCAAACAAGAGAGCATGCATACAATATCTGGGGTTATATTTTCATCTATAAATCGTTGGCTGATGTAACCTATACTTGTCTTTTCCAAAATATTTGACATATCCAATACAGACGCCATTTGCTAATATACTTTTAATAGAAAATGATCATTCCACTCACTTGTTTGCACATAATGAAGTTTGCACATAGCGAAGTTTGCACATAGCGAAGTTTGCACATAGCGAAGTTTGCACATAGCGAAGTTTGCACATAGCGAAGTTTGCACATAATGATGTAAGCGCATATGATGTAAGCGCCGCATATAATGATGTAAGCACCGCACATAATGATGTAAGCACTGCACATAATGATGAAAGCACCGCAGTTAATGATGAAAGCACCGCATATAATGATGAAAGCACCGCATATAATGATGAAAGCACCGCATATAATGATGAAAGCACTGCATATAATGACAAAAGCGTGTAGCGCAGTGAAAAGTACCACCTAAGACAGTCATGGCATTCCATAAATTACGACCATAAACGATCATTTGATCTCACAGTTGCGGACAGTGTTTAGCAGGACCGTAACTCTTGGCTGCTAAATATTTAATAGACTCCAATCCATACTTAGTCATTCTTGGTTTTGTTAAAGCCAATATATTTTGGGCTTTAAGGCTTAAGCATATATATTTGTCAATGCACTATGAAACTGGAAATTTGAGGCATACCATTAATAAATTTTAAAACTTTTGGTTGCAAATCTTGTAGTTGTTGTGCTGGCTTCCAGGAAAGATTTTCATGGATTATCACACCTATGAATTTAGTACTATCAACTCTTGAAATATGAGTATTGTCAATATTGATTCGGAAATTGTCAGATAATCTTTTTACATAAGCTGCATGGATAAAAAAGAACAAATTTGGTTTTATCTGGATGTACAGTTAACTTATTAGCTCTATAAACCATGAAGAAATGAAAGAAAGTTCTCTATTAACAATATCCATCAGACTATTTAGATCCTTATGTAAAAAAAAGAGTGTCATCTAGAGTGTCATCTGCAAAAAGAATGAGTGGTATTGTGATGTATGAAATAAGTCATTGTTATATATTAAGAAAAGTAAGGGTCCAAGAACAGAGCCTTGGGGAACCCACACTTAATTTCATTATAGGAAGATGTATAATCAGCTATTTGAACATATTGCTGTCTATTAGTCAAGTAGTTAGAAAGCAGGTTGTATTCCATGTATACCATAAAATTTTAGTTTATCAATTTCTATTTTGTGACCTACTGTGTCAAACACATTCTTAAGATCAATACAAATTCCAACTGTGTATTCATTATTTTCAAAGCAACACCCTCACCTAATTTATGTTGTCTCACATTTTAAATGAAGGAATAACCATTAATATTATATAAATCTTGGTTGTGTTCATATAGCCAAGTCTCAGATATGCCAATACAAGAAAATGACATTAAGACATATTCAAAAGTTGAGAGAAATTCTGAAAGGTCTTCAAAGTGCTTACTGAGTCTTCGGATATTTACATTAAATACGGAAAAAGTATCATTAAAGTAATATGTATTTTATTAAACTTGTTGGTAGTTAGAGTCTGGATCAATGTCAGAATTTAATAAGAGATGACGAGAATAAGAATCATCAAGGAAGGGAAGAGGGAGTGTTTTGAATAGCTTAAAATAAGACTACAAAAGAATACTAATCGGGATGAACCATTATGCAAATAGTCACATCAAGGGAAATACATAACTCATAAGTTATGTTGATATAATAATTATAATACGGGCTTAATGTAAATGATCCCATAAGAAAGACTGTAACAATTTAAGTGTACTTAGCTATTCTTTCATGACAACTGTTGATGGAAGTACATCTCAATCGCTGAAGTATTACATGGGGGCCTACAGAAGATGGTTCCATCTATACTCCATGCTTTGCTAATTATACCCTGTTCAATATCCTGGCTCAAGTATTTTAAAATCTTTTTATGAGCAACTGTTAGATCTTCTTGGATATTGTAAGGTCACTTATTTTGCTTTAGGACATGTCGAAATGTTTGTACTGCCACCTTAGTAATGTGCTTACAAATCTAACAATGATTGGTCTTGGTTTCCCAGGCGATTTTCTTCCAACACAGTGACACCTACTGATATCATTTATTGCAACTGTCACACCCAATTCATCTGTAAAGAAATTAATAGCAAGATCATCAGATTTTTCATTTGTTACTTCTGGCATTCTGTATATTCTGATGTTAGTTTGCCGAGTATTATTGTTCTAGATTATAAATCTCTTCCAATTGTAAAGAGTTTTTATTTTCGAGATCAACAATTTTACTGTCAGCAATATTTATTTTCTGTTTCAGTTGATTTATAGTGGGGTTATCATTCAGCTCAATAATATTTTTTTTTGGGCAGCTTCCACTCGGTTATTTAGCTGAGCAGCATCAAAACCTATATGCTTTCATTAAGTGATTTTCGAAAATTATCAGATAAAACGTAATCATTAATAACCTTTTCTATGCTTTGAGATCGTCATATTCTCTAACTTGGTCTTATTTATACATATAAACATGTCCCAAACCTTTTAAATTTAAACAAATATATACTCCTATCGTTACACCTTACCATTATTTGATTTTCAACAAAATCTCGAAATAAAAACGTAAATTTCTCAAAAGATGTAATTCCTGAGCTGTAAAAGGTTCAAAATCTTAGGAAAACCCCTCAAAAATGTCTGTGGAGGAGGTAAGGGGGAAACCCCTCACTTGCTGAATGTTGAATGTTTGCTATGACGATAACTGAGAACTACTTGAAGTTGATCATGCTTAGTTCGGAAAATGTTTGTAAAGTGTGACTGCGATTTTGAGCCACAGTCCGCGTATCTGATGTTACTGAATATCATAACTTCTTGCCACTTTGAGCTACGGTGGAGCGTGTCAAGCCAATCACAGGCCGAGATTTTATCATGTGAGCCACGGTGGCCATGTTTTTCTTGCACAATATTATGGAAAGGTTAAATCGGGAATTGTTCGGAAACTTCTCACCATGCATTGTTCGACTGCCTTCTGGTACGAACTTTAGTAAAAATTTTTGGCGCTTAAACTCTCAAGAGGACGTTTTGAGGGAGACTTTGTTGTTGAATTAACATTGTGGTTGGGAAGACAGCAAGTGAAGTTGGAATAGAAAACATACGAACGTCCAGAAAGATATAGACCTGCGCTTATTAGGGCTTTGCTAAATATAATACCTGCAATGTGGGACTGAATCTAGATTCTAATATTTAGAACTTGTATGCAAAGTGCATATATTTATCACTTATTTACTGAGACAGAGCATAGTTAATAGAGGAGATGGTTTGGAAATTCATTAGCATTACAATAAACCTCACTATCTATGTTTTTGTTCAGGTTTATGCAAAAATGTGATCTTTCATCGTCACATGCGTATTGTTTTTTGTTCAACCAGCCAATAGCAACGGTTTTGTCCAATTGCCCATCCATGACTTTAACAATAGGACATTTTGAACATTCCTATTGGTTGACTTGAGAAAAATACAATACGCACGTGACGATGAAAGACCACATTTTTGCATAAACCTGAACAACATAGATATTGACTATTGATATATAATAACTTTGACTATTGATATATAATAAATAAATTTATTGTGATCTATTGATATATAATAAATAAATTTATTGTTTATCCTCCATGTTGGAGGAAACCAACATGGCGGATGACAAGAAAACCGTGTGCTCGTCAGCTTTTCCAAAATCTCGAGAAATAAACTGCGTTGTTGGCCCAAATAGCGTAAAATCTGAATTACTAAGTGTTCAAGATGATGATATATCGTGGAAAGGTGATTTAAAAAGAAAGCGTTTTTAGAAACCAATTTACAACTGAACGGACGGTGGTCGTCGTCTCATGGTGAAGCAATACAATTCAGCAATGCTGAATTCTGTATCAAATGGCATGGATCGACGGACAAAAAACTGATTATCTTACAAGATAATGATGAAAGTCAACTTTTTAAAACCCTACTGAGCTACGCAAGCAATACAGATGGCGCAAATCATGGAAAATATGAAAAGAAATAATGTGAGCAAACACCGAGCGAGCACATGGTCCAAGATGGCGCCGAGACCAAATCAAAACAATCGGCATGTCAGAACTGTAACTCTTTCTCTGATAAAATTTCCAAAATAATGGACATAGTGAATGAACTTAAAAACCAACATGAAGAACGCCAGAACACCAAAACACGAGAAGCTGAATCAGACGAAAAAATTCAATACCTGATCGATGACAGAAAAAAATGGCAACCGAGATCGAATTGCTCCTCGCAACTGTGACAGAATTGACACACGAAAACAGCGCTATAAAAAACATTTTAGATATGAAGCAAACCGAATGGGTCAACACAGTAACCAAAGGGAAACTTTCGGAAGATAATCGACCACATCCAATTCAAGTAGAGAATCAATTCGAAATCCTCGAAGTCGAAGATGATATAAATATATCAGAATCAAATGTTCAAACTACCCATGGCCAAATCCTCGAATACCGTTCCAAAGCACAATCGAAGTTTACTTCTCAGAAAAACAAACAAACAAAGACACCAGGTAAACAATCCCAAACCACAACAAGGCCAGCATCCGAGAAGCAGGAAGGAAAGCCTGAAATACAAAATAAAAGAACTCTGGTAATCGGTGATTCCATGGTGAAAAATATCGATCAACAGAAGATTCAGAGAGCCGCAGGTGACAAATCAGTTGTCCATTCGTACAGTGGAGCAAAAGTGGATCATATCATGACGAAGATCAAAAGCGGCATCAAGAAAGACCAGTTTGAAACAGTCATCCTCCATGTGGGTACAAATGATCTGGTCCATGAAGATCCTGAATTGGTTGCAACAAAGATTGATGGACTCATTACAGAAACCAAATGCAAGGCAAGAACGGTTGCAGTATCCAGTGTTGTGAAAAGGTATGATGGCCGTGTTGCACCAAGCAGCATAACTCACTTTAACAAGTTAGTAAGTAATCTATGCTCCCAGCATAATATAGTATTCCTAAATAATGATCATATAGACAAATCCTTACTCAATAGATCAAATCTACACTTAAACCAAAGTGGTGATAGAGCACTAGGAAGTGTATTCTGCACATATCTTAAGTCCAATCGAGTGAAAATTAACAATCTATCAGTTAATACTAGAGATGAACAGGTTCTTCACAACGCTTATCGCAGTCGAAAGAGAGAGTGGACAATGTATCTACAATTTGTGAACCAGATGATGAGAAATTAGATAGTCATAACATCTCAATCAATGCAGGTAGCAACTTTCTCACTAGCCTTAATTCGGTTTCCAGCACCAGAGGATTTAAGATGGCTTTCTTAAATATTGTCAGCCTGCCTAAAAATCTAGATGAAATAAGATATTCAATGTCCAGCAAGCATATAGATCTCATTATTGCCTTCAGTGAGACACGGCTTGATTCCAATTTAAATAATAATATGATTCATATTAATAATTATGACATTATTCGAAAGGATAGGTCAAGAAGTGGTGGTGGAGTCTGTATCTATTTACGTAACTCTATCAACTATAAAATAAGGCATGATCTGATTCTAACAGAACTTGAATGTGTTTGCATTGAAATTATGAAACCACATAGCAAACCCTTCCAAAATACTATTGAGATTAGAAATATGAAAAATTTTGATGATCAAAAATTTGTTAATGAACTACAGAGTCAGCATTGGGAATTTATATACTTTGCTACAGACCCAAATTCCATGTGGGAAATGTGGAAAGAAATGTTCTTGGAAGTTCTTGATAAACATGCACCAATTCAAAACAAAAAGATTAGATCAAAAAAGCTTCCTTGGATAACGAGTAAAATAAAAAAAAACTAATCATTACAAGGGACAAATTGAAAAGAAAAGCCATCTTAACAAATTTAGAAACAGATTGGTACAATTACAAACAAACAAGAAACAAAGTGAATATAGAACTAAGAAATGCTAAAAAACATTATTACACCTGGGCAAAAACGCAATCCAAAACAAGTTTGGAAAACTATAAACAATTTACTAGGTAAGCAAAACAAACAAACAGTTGTTAACGAATTAGATATAGAAGGAGAGATTTTAACAAATCCTCGAGACATTGCAGAGGGTTTCGATGACTATTTTTCAAATATCGGTCCAAATTTAGCCAGCAAAACTGGTACATCAAATTATGATTTTGAAAAATACATTAAGAAAACTAAATCAGAGTTTGCTGCATTTCAACCTACTACCATTAGTAATGTCTGCCATCTTCTAAGTGGGCTTTCTAGCAATAAAGCAACTGGCATTGATAAAATTTCAAGTAAAATTATAAAGACAGCTGCACCTGTCATTTCAGATTCACTAACTTATATTTTTAATCAAGTCGTTACTCAGTCCTGTTTTCCAGATGAATGGAAAATGGCTAGAGTTACACCTATCTTTAAAAATGGTCAACGTAATCTACCAGAAAACTACAGACCAATTTCAGTTCTACCTGTCATTTGTAAAATTATGGAAAGAATTTTATATGATCAACTCTATAATTACTTAACAAAATTTGGAATTCTTAGTGACTGTCAATTTGGTTTTGGAAAATCTCATTCCACTACTACAGCATTATTGGACTGTACCAACGAGTGGTATGTTAACTTGGACAGGAAACTATTTAACCTGGTAGTTTTGATTGATTTAAAAAAAGAATTCGACACTGTCGATCATCAAATTCTAATGAGAAAATTGGAGCTCTGTGGAATAAAAGGACAAGCTTTCACTTTACTCAAATCTTATCTAACAAATCGAAACCAAATATGCCAGGTTAAAAATGTTATTTCATCAGATAGAACAATTAGATGTGGGGTACCTCAAGGCTCTATTCTAGGACCACTCTTCTTTTTGTTATATATTAACGATCTGCCTCAATGTCTAAACGAAACAAAGCCTCGACTATTTGCTGATGATACAAATTTAACAGCTGCAGGCCAATCTATAACTGAACTTGAAAATGCAGTAAATTCTGATTTAGAAGACCTTAGGAAGTGGTTGATAGCCAATAAACTTAGCTTGAACGTAGCTAAGACAGAATTTATATTGATTGGCTCAAAACCAATGATTAAAGGTACTACAGATCTTCATCTAAACATCAAAATTGACAACAAACCCATTAAACAGATTCAAGAGTGTAAAAGCCTAGGAGTAATAATTGACCAGTATTTATCTTGGAATAGTAACACTGAAAATATTTGCAAAAAGTAACAGCCGGAATCTCTGCCCTTCGGCGTTTAAAAGATTTTGCTGACAGAGAAACACTTCTCTCTGTATACAATGCACTTATATACCCATATTTCAAATACTGCTGTGAAGTATGGGATGTATTTGGTGAAACAATAAAAAAGATTGCAAAAACTTCAGAATAGAACTGCTAGAATCATCACAAATCTTGGCAATGATGTTGATCATTCTATTGCCTTAGGTCAGCTAAGCTGGGAACCTCTTAAGGCTGATAGGAAAAAACAAAGGCGAAAATGATGTATAAACTTTTAAATAATATGGGTCCAAATTCACTCACTAATCTGTTTTCGTATAAAAGTGAATTAACAAACTATAACCTCCGGGATATTTCAAGTGGCCTTCACTTACCAAAACCACGTACAAATAATATGAAAAAAAGTTTTATGTACGATAGTGCATTCCTTTGGAATTCAATTCCAAGAGCAATTAGGGGAAGTACATCCCTTAATTTGTTTAAAAAGAAAATTGCTACCTTCATTGACATTTAAAAAGCGCAATAAAGTACATGCATGTATATACAGGATTTCCTGTAAATAGCCTAACTACCTTCTTAATTTAGCTCATTGTAAATAAGTAGATTGTGTTCTTGTTAAACGTACTTTTATATAGTTATGTAAAGATATTTTGCACACGTCCCCCGTGAAAATCAGCTTAAGTTGATGGGGTCAACATGTTTAAATAAAGTTTTTCTATCTATCTATCTAATATAATATTACAGTGAAATATTAGCAATGTTTTATTTATCCAGTCGATTCAGCAAATATTTCTTCTGCTGTGGGGTGATGACTAGATGAGTAACATGCAAAAGGCATGGAAGCATATACTTGTGAAAAATGATTATGTGCAAGCCCACTCATTTGAATCCGTCAGGATGAGAAAATCATCAACAAAATCATGAAGTGTGAAACATGCTTTAGGCAGATTGTCAAGCAAAAAGTCCCCTATGGATTTGTTGTATCTATCTGAACAAAGTGTTTCCTACCAGTGAGATATTGTATTGTCCATAAAAGATAATCTTTCGAAAAACCAAGGAGACCAAGTTTTTTCAGGACAATTTTATATTTTATGTTGTCAAATGCCTTGGAGAAGTCAGCTAAAACCATAAGAGTTACTTCACCGCACTTCATGGCATGAACTATATCATCCCTAATACCCAATAATACCGTTGTAGTCGAATGACCTTTCCTAAACCCCAAGATGTTACTTTGAATAGTGTATGAGATTCAATATAGTCAATGACCTGATGGTGGACCAGTCTTTCATATACTTTCGAAAGAACTGGGAGAATCGAAATTGGCCGCATATTTGGAACACTGACAGAGCCGTTGGTCTTTGGAATTGGAGTTATTCTGGCCACTTTCCATGCATTAGAAAAAATTATTGGAGATCAGATTCGCGTTAGTATAATACGTTTTAAAAGACCTAGAAGCAATCCGCGTTAATTTGATGTTGCATTAATTTATGTCGCGTTAATAAAGTGCATTGTTAATTTCGTATAAGGTAGGTCTGGAGGCAGATCATTAATGAGGTATGGACTAATAGCGGCTGCTCAAGCACCATTTGTAAGCTCAAAGTCTACCTCAGTTTGCTTCACGTCAGTCCAGTTTTATCTATCTATTCATAATGTAACCAGTCACTGAAAAGCCTGATAAGGAGTGTGCTGTGAAATATCTGTATGTATGTACGTACAATTTTAAATTCACGATGTAATTTTATGGAAATTACAATTTTAAATTTGTGATGTGCAATTTTAAATTCACACAAGTGTATGCTTTGAAAAATTGTGCAATCTCAACTTTGCGCTCACCTCATTGTTGAAATTGTGCAAATGACAGCTAATTTCTTTTTAATTTGCACGTCTGGATGCACAATTTGAAAACAATTGTGTGACTGAGATCCCGGTCGCACAGTACATACTTTCCAGTCTGGGGTATGCATCTTGTTTCAGAATGTTTGTTTTCATTCCATCTGTAATCATTTGCCTTTAATACAGTGCTAAGTGCATGCAATCCTTCAAAAAAGAGAATGAAATCTATTTTTTGTGGTTTGTCATATAATAAAAATACCATTGAATGGTTTGACATATAATTCTACGGAGCATTTTACTCATTTCCTGTAAAATACTCCCCTGGATTATATGTGAAACCATTAAATAAGATATATTTATTAGACAACTACCAGATATGAGCTATTCTACAATTTGATTGGCTCTCATATCCTGCCAGTAAAAAAAAACAAGATGGGCACCCCAAAAATTAATTAAATTTTCAGAACGAAAAAACAGCAGGTGAATAGCTTTTTATATACCATTAAGAGGAATAAAAACACTATGAAAATAATTCATTATTTTAATTTTTATATAGCTATGTAAATAGTGTTCTAGTCCTTGTATGTCTACTTATTATATTGTATCAGGTTGGTCCTCACATGGGACTCATGTCCTGTTGACCATACCTTCAATCATTGTTATATTTTTTTGTATGATTGTAAAGTTAATAATTAAATAAACAGAAAACACTTCCAGCAATTGTTTACATGCAAATAGTTTAGCAAATAGATGTTTAATACTTAAACTAGTTGAAATGTGTATTGCTAAAAAATTAATCCCTAATTGTTTAAAACATAATGCCTAAAGAGTGGAATATAATTTTTTAGACAAAATTACAATGTGCCGCCATTTGTCATGTGCAGTTTTGGTGATTCTTTGTTTCCCAGAATGTAGGTGCATAATTTCTCTTCAGGAGCTTTTAATGAGCGCAATTACTTTTTCATGGCAGTAGAACTGGTCTTGCAGTGTGTTGGAAGTTGCTCATTATCTCTTGTTTGCTGAATGATAATACCATTGGCCATGTGTGTTGAACCAGCATCAGTTGTTGTTTCTTCCAGGAAATCTATGTTATCCCAAACCATCATGGTGACAATATCTATTGTCTAGACATTGGGAAGCAAGAGCTGTATCAAAGGACAGGACTGCTGGATGGGACACTGATTTCCAAAACCATTAAGGATTTTTGTAAGTGCATAAGATCTTGTAATTTGCCTGACTGCCATACCCAAAGATAGAGATTTTGGAGTCTGTTTCCTGCCATTTGAGCTTGCATAAATTATATCGTGGGCAAGAGAAAGAACTTAAATATTCATTCGCTGTAATATTTAAGTATGAGTTCATACTAACCGTGCACGAAAACCCAAGCAACCAAGAAAGAAACACTTATAGACTAGGGGAAACATTTTCTCTGCATTTGTTGTGGTAAGTATAGATGGTGTAGGGGGCCAACAAAAATTGTGACATTCATTGATTTTACTATGAAGAATCATAGCAGCATGAAACAATGTTCTCATTTCTTCTACCTCATTGCTTCCAGACTTTTGGGTTGACGAACTGGGAGTTTCTGTCTCAATCTCTTCCTGACTACCATTTTCAGTGTCAGAACTTGTCACACATTGAGATGTTTTCTGTTGCAATCACACCCTTACTCAGATCCTCACTGAAAACCAACTCACTCGCGTTACTAGGTTTATGGAAAACTAACTGCAGGTATGTAAGCTTCAATCTAGTTTTCAAACGAAATGCTCGATAATTTGAAGCATCTAATCCGTCCGTATCTTGAACAGCTTTAACAAAATAGTCAAACAGTTTTCTCATGAGCATTACTTCTTTTTTTATAATGATCCTTTTCTCTACAACTTGTTTACAGAAGTGCTGGTATGACTCCTCCTCGTAAGGCCAATGAAAATTGATATCATGTTTCTTGCCCCCGCCCGCATGGGATTTATCTGCCACACGAAAATTTTTCATTCATTATTTTTGAAAAATAGGCTTAACAAAACACCAAATTGATCTCCAGATTAAAGTCTTATTGCTACATTCTGCAAGCGCAACTCAAATTGTATCTTTCTAAAGATATTACTCGCCAGAATGCCTCTATTTTTCATGTCAGCCCTGGGAACGAGGATGATCTTGACATGTGATCATTCTCTTCCGGTTTGCTTCCGATTTCCTGTGTTGCGAAAGAATCTGTTTGCGTGGTTTTACTGCTTTTTTGAAAAGATAAATCAGGCATATTCATGTTTTATAATGATCATTTATGTGTAGAAATATACTGTAGTGTAGGACGTATTAAATTAAAATGAATTATATGCTGATTTACTTCAGAATTCAAATACAAGAAATGAAAAATGAAAAAATCCTGCTCCAAATTTTTGAAAATTGTGGACGATAAACATGATATCAACTTTCATTGGCCTAAAGTCTTTCTTCTTTATCCCCTACTGGTTCATAGTTCAGGAAATTTGTGTAGCTTGCATAACATTTTTATGGTAGCATGCTTCGACTGCAACACAATCTTTGTCGCGAATATGTAACAGGATAGACTCATCCTTTTTCTGTTCTGCAGCCATTCTTAACTTTCCAGCATCAAAGGTTTGGCTTTGGGTGAGCTTTTGTATCGTTCTTTTCTTGGTTCTCTGAAACCAAATATTGGCTTCAATAATCTAGTTTGATATTGACTATGCTAATATACTATATCATAAAACATAGCAGTATTTACATGCCACTGGGCACTTGCATTTGAGGTAAATATTAATTGTAGTTTGAAAAAATATTTTATTACTGTTTCATACTTTTGACAAAAAAATGAAGTAATTTTAGCTTTTGACAAACAGGATAGCCACATATTCCAGCTACTCAATAATTTTGAAAGTGTTACAGCAGTAAAATCTTTTACAGGTGAAACATCATTCTAAATCTTGCATGTATATATATATATATATATACTAGCAATGATTTAAAAGCGACTTTCTGTATGAAATGGGTTAAATTTCAAGATAGGGCATAACTACCTGAAAAATATATAGAAACGTACTTAGCTTTGCTTTTTAAGGTTTTCAAATTTTTTTGCATTTAATTCTAGGGCAGATGTAAGTGTCTATTATAGTAGAATACAAAAATGTGATCAAGAAAATACATCACTTTACATGTGTGTTGCCATGGTAATTACCCCCTAGTGAGAAAATAAGCACCTATTTACAGACATGATTAAGCTTCAGGGGATGGTCAGAAAACTTTAATTTCTGGTTTATATTATCACTATAAACATAGTCTAGGAGCCAAACAAAAAAACCTATTTACAAGCATCTCTGTTTTTTTAAGATTTTTCCACAAAATAGCAAATTTTTTGAAAACAATACAACATATAGGAAACAACTAAGGAATTAATATAAAACTTTTTTCAGTTTTTTCAGTCAAATTGGTTAAAATCTGTCTTAGATATGCTGCCTGAAAATAGCAGCATTTGCCAAATTTCACATTTTGTGAAAAACAGCACTTAAGTTTAGCTTTTAGATGGTGGCTCTGTATTTATGCAAATAACATTGGAATGTCTACTTTTTTAACATCTTTTCAAACCTTAGAGTCTTTAAAAAAGTTAAAATCGACCGGCATCATAAGTCACACCCTCTTTCTGGGAACATTTGTCTGCATTCTTCTTTCGTGCTTGGCTGATTTTTCTTTTCTTTTTGTTTTCTTCCTGGGTCTTGAATTTTGTTTTATCCACACGTTCGTGATCTTGTTGCGCTAATTCAGTAAGACAAAATGTTCCAGGATCAATCCCTAGAAGCTCTAGTACATTAAGAGCAGCTTGAGAGCCAATGTTAAACTGGGCCACATCATCGTAAACACCAAGCTTCAAAACCTCCAATCCAATAAACACTTCTTTTGGAAGGTGATTCTGGTTTTGAGTCTTCCCATCTAAGCACCTTTCAAGTAAAGAATCATTACTTAGCCTCTCATAAATGGGTTTTACCAAACTAATTCATCTGGCAACCATGGCCCTGGTTTGTACAAGGATGTTCCTTTGGACTGATCTTGTTGAAATCGACACCAGCTACCAGCAGGACAAATCATATGCAGATTTCTTCTCTTTGAGGCTATGTATGCAATGCATCAGGCTAGCTTGAATAGCTTTTTTCATTGGCTCCAGGTTCCCATCATTGCTTCGAATTGCAATGCCATAGTAATTTTGAAGCCGATCAATCAAAGCATCTGTCAACTTTCCTTTCTTATTCTCCTTTTTAAGCTTTCGAAGGGCAGTTCCTACCTGCTTTTGGACATGCCCAACACATTCTTTTTTCACCACTTTAACATTCTCTTTGCTGT